CGCACAGACCACATCTGCAATCCTGAAAACCCCCAACTCGTTTTTTTTTCCTGGTCCGGAAAAAAACAGGATTCCCCGCCCTCCTTTGGTAAAAGTCACCTCCCACTAGCCTCGCAGGCTATAATGGGCCACCAAAGGAATTTCTCCCCCTGCATGCTCCCTCACCAATGCCAAAGGCAGAACAGAGAGAAAGACTGAGGGGGTGAGAGGGGTTACATTCCTCTCTGCTCTGTCCTCTCGCTGCCTGTCTGCTCAACTGAGTGCCTCGTTGTTTAGGTCCAAAAGCTGATTCTGGATCATGGTCAGCTGAGCCAGTGGGCTTTCCCATGGCTGATTTGGAATCAGCTGGCAGTGAGGATATGACTGCAGACTAAAGCCAATTATTTTACTACGACAAAACACATAAAAGACATTGTTAAGTTCAACAATGTCCAATTTTGTTATTAGTGTCCTTTCTGTGACACATACTATCCATAGCACTGGCTTTGGGTCTGAATACAGGTTCTCACAGAGACAAAGGCTTACGTAAATGAGTCGTAACTGGTTTATGAGTTAACGGCTAGAAAATCATAAACAAATCCTACATTTAAATATTGTTGGAGGTTTTCTCATGTTTTTTCCCAACACATTAATTAACTGTGACAGAATATTGCTGTAATCACCAGCCATGTAGTGCGGGTTACGCTGCGATCGTCCTCCGTAGGCAAAGAAAACTTTTTTTAATCCAGGTAATCTATCTAATTACAACTTTAATTTATTTCCTTTGTCTGAACAAAGTAAGACGTTCACGCTCCACAGCCCCAGTGAATCACACGCGTACCTATAAAAAGACAACATCAATGCAATTACTCTTTTTTCCACTTTCCACAAACAATAACAAACCATTGTTCATTGTTGCTTCACGAGCAGACGGTTTAATCAATCTTCCTCAAACTGTTTCAGATGCATTCAAACAAATAAGTGTTTTTCTAAAAGGGAACCAAGCTGGGAAATAAAAAGTAGCCTGGCAGCCTGTTGTGCAACCAGATCTAAGGCAGGGTAGTAACACTCGCAGCATTCATTGTTTGGTCCATTTGTACTGACAAAATGTCACTGGCAGCTTGTCCTGAGCCAACACAGACCATCTGAGCCACTGTGCCTGTTTTCCTGCCAGACACTCACTCAGAAAGCATGTAAAAGTGGGCGCCAAAAGCACAGACTAACATTGTGTCATGCTGCCCACCTTGACTGTGGAAAACGGAAAAATGGGTGTCGTATGAGGTGGCTGGAGAGTAGACGGTAAGAAAGTACGTTCATCTTCCCGAGAAGGCCGTGGTGAGACATAAACCACAAGTGGTCACCAGTCCAATGGACATAGTTACAAGCATCGACAATGAGCTGCTACTAGAAATAGAACAACCAACCTCCAGTCCTCAGGGAGGCTCCACAGAAATAAGGTCAACACTTCCTCATGAATTGTGACTTTTCTGATGATTCTCTGGTCTCAGTCATGTGGTCCAGGGCTTCTTAAGGACGAGGTGTGCTGTGTAAATTCTAAATGCATGTAGAGTAAAAGGTGTGGATACTGGAAATAAAGTAGGTGACATTCCACATGACTGACAGCGACAGTGTATCTTCCACTAGCAGCTTGGCTACATGGACCTCTCAATAACAATGGCATCAATATCCATGTATCTACAATGATAACTTAACCACTAAAATTAAGGAATTAAGAATTTAAGAAAGTCACTTTTTAGAGAAAAAAAAGCATCAATCACCAATTGAATGAAATTAAGGGCTAAAGGTCAGAAAGTCACTTTTTAGAGAAAAAAAAAAAGCATCAATCACCAATTGAAATTTCTTATATTTTAATCAAACATTCAATCTTTAAATCTCATTCATTTATTTATTCCACTTCATTTATTTATTCCACTAAATATCTAACCGGGTGAATCTTTAGAATTCTACAGATTCAATCACTGTTATCCAAACAGAAGTTGTTGCTGGTTTAGGAAAATAAGAGAGAGCATCAGACAGCTGACTGATGCAACAGGATTGTTTCCACAACTGCTGCCACATTAAGCTGCAGGGAAACTGAAAAACATTAACGGATACATTGAGTTTTAACCTTTCTATTTTGACCTAGGTCTTTTGGAACACTACTATATAACTAACTATAACTATAACCAACCTCAGATAGACTCAGTAGAACAAATGCTTGAGATTTTAGAAATGCAGACGCACTGTTAGTCCCTCCAAATACTTAAACTGCAGTTTCTCTTTAAATCATAGTATGAGAAATATGTGCAGCTTGTCGCTAAAAAGCTAGATGTGTGTGTCAACATCCACACTCCCAAGAGTTACAATATGATGGTGTCACTGCGTATTTGACATGTCTGAACCTGCGGTGCATCACTGAGCACAAAGACACAGACTTAATGACATGTTTTTCAGGAGAGGAGCTTTGCCTGTAACAAAGTGCTGTTAACTGGACTCTGCTGGGCGCAGTCCAGGCCGTCTGGGGTGTTGAGAAACGTTGCTTAAAAGGCACAACTGGAAACACACCGCAATGACAAAGGCTCTGCCAGAGAAACACAAACTCGCACTGTGCAACTCTGCAAAGTGCGGAAATATCCAAATGACAAGAGACTCCTTAAACAAGTTGGACTTGTGCAGAGTGAGCCATGACTCCTGCCAAATGTCTTCCTACGGAGAGGATAGGACAGATGAGGCCTGTCTATGTGGATGATGTTTTCACCACAACCAGATTAACTTCTAATCTTCAGGGGTCCTTTGGCGAGATAGCATGTGAACTATGCACCTCCAGTATCCTGTGTTCTAACGTGAACTGAGGGCTTTGTCACATGACAACTCAAACTGCCTTCTTCCTCACATTTTCCAAACCCGTACAGTCCGTCTCCCCCTTAAGAGTACATGACAAGAGCAAACTCATTCCCACACTCATCAGATCCACGTCTGTGTGGATGTTTTTGCGAGGCGAGTTGCTCCTTTCGCAAAATAACTGGCACAGTAAGCGTGAATACACCACAGGAATTTGCCCTCTGTTTTCCCCGGCCTCGCTGTGACGGGCACTGTTCAAGCTTGGCAATAGGACGTGTCCCCTGCCCTGTCTGTTTAACACCTATCAGCATTCACTGCTGAGAGAGAGCTGAGTTGGAAATGCAGAGGAGTGGACCTGAGCCTAGATTTACACTCACTCCGTTAATGATTGTCAGGATGAAACCTCTTTTAAAAGCAAACTTTGACCTGTGTGAGCCGTAGACAAATATGCAGAGGACGTACAGTTGACTAAATGGCCTCGGGTACAAACCAAGGACTGGCCTTTGTGGGCGTGAAATAAAAAGTATCAGTTTGACTACCAACCTGCTGACTGGCCAGGCTGAAATGCTAAAATTTTAATGCTTGGCATGTTGTCACACCACTAGAAAGTATGCCAGTCATCTGCCTAGTTAATGAACAAGACAGGGCCCAGGCGTAGCCTGGTTAGCTCACACACATACACACTTACACACACCCATCATCTCCATCATTCCACACTGCCGTCCTTCAATTTGTTCTTTCAATTTTCTACCTCTTTACACCCTACAAGAATTTGCAGATAGAAAATAACAATTTAAAAGTTGTGACTTCAATAGGCTTTTACTGGACAGATTTGTTCAGGTATGGACCAAGATCCAGTGTGGCAGTAGTCTAAAGTAGGAATGTGGGGATAAAAAAAAAACTAGGTCACCTTGGTCTAGTAAATTTTTGGAGATGACTTTTACTGCCATCCAGGGGGAAAGTGCACACAAGCAATAAAGACAGCAACACATACCCTGGCACCAATCACAACTCCACAGCATTGATTTCCAACTTTTAAGCAGCAGGAAATTATAGTAGAAAAGAAAAGGTTGGGTAAACAATACAGAAATCTGTTATTTGACAAAGATATAAACAAGTGCTTTTTAACTCACACAGTGACGACCAACGAGTGACTCACAAACGGTCAAGGGTCCAGGATTTTATATGACAGATATTCAACTCTCAAATCTATAGTTAAAGACCGCTGTGTTCAGCCCTAGTCAGTCAATATATTTATGACAATGATAACCTTCATGGAACGCTGCTTATTGACTATGACTCAAATTACAATATGTCCACAAAAAAAGTGCTGAAAACCCAAGGTTTGTGGGGGGACGGAACTGGTTCAATAAGTGAAGCTATGCTAACGAAGAGGTGTTGATCCATCAAAGTATCAGTCGTTTCCACTGTTGGATGTTTTGAATAGCTGTAATGTTTGAAATAGTCTCAGGTTTGAAAAGGCTGTTTGGTATATCTGGAATTTAAGAGTCAATAGAAAAGAGTCCAACGAGTTCTTTACTGTGACCTGTGTTTGTTCCTAAAACAACAATATGACGATTGTGATCAATCACAGTCAGAGTCCATGTGAAGGCCGTCGGTGAGTAGTATCGGCCAGAGATTCAGCCTCGCCTTCGTCTTAGCAGCAGACAAGTGGGTCACAGGCTCCTACACCCTTCACCAACACGTTGTTGCTGCTGCTGCTGCTGCTGCTGCTGCTGCTGCTGCTGCTTCACTTACAAAATGCATGCACACTCACTACTTGGAATTGTAGGCAACACTGTGGCGCCCACTTTCCGCTTAGGGAGGGGAAAAGAAATCAGGACGGGAAAGAAATCAGGTTTGACAGAGAAAAGAGGAAAAACAGAAGCTAGTGTGAACCAGATTTGTTCACCCGGGGAAAGAGCTAATCAGTGTTCAGTGAGTGAAATGGGGGCTGAGGGGGAGGAAGGGGGAGCCAGGCTGGGAGGAGAACCTGGGTGACAGAAAGTAGGACAGCGGTTGCAGCTGTGAGGTTTTTACTGCAAATCTGAGGCCCGTACTCGGGCTCTGACCTCCACACCTCTCCTCATCCCTCCTCTGCCATTTTCCTCCCTGTCGGCCACCGCCGCTGCCTCCTAACCCGGCTCTCCCGGGCCCCGTTGGGCCCTGGCATGTCTTACCTTCCTCTGCTGCTTCTCCCAGGCCGGGTCCAATAGCAGGTCCCGGTCCCAGTCGTTCTCTTGCTCCATGTATGTCTGAACCCCGGAGGTGGATGATTGGTTATTAGAAGCGTGATAATCTACCATGTCAGCAAAAGAAACCTGAGTACGCCAGACAAAAACTGACAGAAAAATAAAAAACAAAAACGTGGAGGAAAAGGCGACGACGTCCCAAATCGGAGAGGTGGGATGGGGAGGGAACCACGAGCGAGGAAAGAGTCCTTGTTTAGTGAGGCGTGAGTGCGCGGTTTCCTGTGATGAATGGCCGGTGTGTGCAGTGAGAAAGCCCCGCTGCTGCTGTGAGAAGAAAAGCTCTCCCTCTGTACTCTCTGTGCTTCTGGGAGGAACCGGCGGCGGCGACAAGCCTCGCATAGAACAGCACAAATACTGGTGTGACCCATCAAAACAAAAGCACACGCATTTTAAATAATCACTGACAAGCTGTCCAAACAGGTTTCTTTTGAGTTGTCAAATAAATTTAGCGACTGATAAGGCTAATACTTAACAAAATCATATTAAATAAAGTGTTCTTGGATTTGAATTTGATTGATTTTACCAGCAACTCCATATCATTTAATTTTTTTCTACCACTTCTCAATTGAAATTCACAAATTTTGAAGCATGGTTTATTAAATCAACAACCATTTGTTCACCGTTCATCTCAACATTGATAGATTCATGCGTGGTGAAACAAAATAACACCATATGACTTTCAAATGATAATTATGTAAAAAAAAGATCGACTTCGCCTTTTTCTTAAACCGTGGGGTTTTATTTTGAAAGTTCGGCTATCTATTTCCTATTTAAATGTATTTCCGAAAATCGACTGACCGACAGCTCATGCATATGTATGTAATGTGAGCTGCTAAAATTATGACCTTTTTATTTTACTTGTATGAAATATTATATATATATAATAATATAAAATATTGTAAAGGTGAAATACTTTTTAACTGAAATTTTAAACTTTAAACTGTTCTGTCAAGTGTATGTATAGTTATACATTTTAATATCAGAATTAACGGCCGCATTCCATGTTTTGTCAGAAACAAAGCTATAAAACAAGGTGTTTTTTTTCCACAAAACCAAGGTTTAACAAAAACCATAGACACTGAAAAAAAGGCTAACAGTACTAACAGGAAGGAGTTTTTTATATGAATTTACGACTCCTTAAAAAATGATTCAGATGTTGACCTAAAAAGAAAAATCTAAATATAAGGTTGAAATTTGATTTTGATTTTCTTTTACATTTTCTACAAATGCTAATGCATAATTTAAAAAACAAAACACTGATATAAAAGGAGGGAACATTTTCAAGCACATGTGGTTGATTCATTTGCAGCCTGTGACCATTAAAGGGGTCATAGTCCAGACATTTTGAGAGGCATTGACCCAGAGGAGTGACACCATAAACAACAGGAGAGCCTGAGCAGCAGTTCCATTCATTACAAACTGCCTGGGTCACAGGCTGCAGCCTATATGGATGGTGACTGTCCTGTCTGCAGGAGCCACCTATTCTAAGTAGGTCATACTCACACTGTCCTGGTTGATTAGTATCACTGCAGCCCCCAAGCAGCATATACTGTACAGGCTTCAGCTATAATGATGTCATCACTATTAGCCACATCGTGCAACTCAATGACTGGTCACATCAAACATGAGCCACAATTATAGTGTGCTTTAGGCTCAGTAGCAGAGACTGGACGTTGATGAATGAACCCTTTATGTTGAATGAGAAGAGCTGGGTTTGATGCTGTGATAATGATGCAGAGACACTTCAGAACGGTTCTAATTGTACATCATTTCTAATTACAGCAGAGCGATGCTTAAACCCGTCACAAAAGACAAAAAAAAAAAAAAGACCAAAGACCTACTGTACAATAATGATGAAAGGAAAAATCTGGTAAACAACCAAACTGACAACAACCATAAAGTATGTCTGATTGGAAATGCAGAGAGCAATTTTTAAAAGTAAAATCATTTTTGGCAAAAAAAAATAAAATAAATGTAACAAGAAAAAAACAGAGACCAATGTTACCGCTCTTTTAGGCCTGTGACTAAAAGGTTTCTAAAAGGTGACAGCACATCAGGGTGTGTCTCTCTCTCTCTCTCTCCCTCTCTCTCTCACTCACACACGTGCACACACATAGTTCATTTTACAAATTTCCTGGAGACTCACCCAAATCTTAAAATATCCCTTTATGTTACGCCTGAAACATGTCCTTGTATGGAAAGGTCACCAAAAGGTCACCTTGGGCAATGGTTCTTTCACACTAAGTTTACTGCTGAAACACACACACACACACACACACTCGTTTGACATTATGCACACTGCATTCCGTTCCATCCTTGGTCCTAGTTCTAACATGAACCTCAAAACTGGAGCTCATAGGTCATCTACACACACACATCTACACACACACATCTACACACACGTACACACTCAGCCCTCTGGTGCGTTCCTTTCTGACCATTCTCACTTTAAAGAAGACGGATATTTACACATACCAGACATCAGCCCAGAACAGAGGCTCATTTCTCACAGCACCCCCTGTGGTGGAGGTCACTATAGAGACTTGACAGGGAAAAGAAAAGTTGCAGAGGAAACTTGGGACCAGACAAGTGAAAAAATGACCAGTGTGCAGATGTTTTCTGAGGTCATCTAAAGAGGTCACACATCCAAACAAACCACATATTAACATTTAAAATGTAAAGCTAAAACAGAAGTGCTTGTTTATAGATATATAAATGACTTGTATGGTTTTGATTGGTTGGATGAAAATCTGCATTTTTAATCGGTTCATTTTCTGTGTGCTGAGCTGGGACTGAGTTAGGCGGAAATGAAAAGTAAAAATAATTTCAAGCAGGACAGTTTTTACAGAATTGAGTGGCAAACTTAAAATATTAGTAAATATTCCACGTCAATATTTTATGTCATGTAGGAGAATTGATAGCCTATGGTATTAACATGGTGGTCAAACATTTTAAGACTCTGATGTCAGTCGAACTGTCACTGTATAAACACCAGTTTATTAAAAAAAAAAAAAAAAGACAAACGAACAAATTCTAATCTCTCATTTTATTCCAATTACATAAAGTATATAAGCATAAAAATTTCAGTTAAAATATTGCTATGTACACTTCAGCTTTATTTACTAATAAAAATGTGCAATAAATGTTCCAATTAGCCAAATAAGAAAAAAAATGATAGTAGGATCAGTTCATAAATCACTGTTTCAAAACAACACAGAAAATAATACAGGTTATTTTTCCTCTCAGCTGCGCTGCTGTCTTTGAAATTTGCCCCTGTGTGTTACCATGACAGAGGAGAAACGTTCTGTTATTGCTGCTGGAGTACCTGATGACACTGCAGAGGGGGGGGAGCAGGGGGGTGGGCTTAAAGGCAGAGAAAATCTGTCTGAAAGTGCTTCTCTCATGCATTGCTCTACTTGTCTACTACATACGAAGTACATGCTACATACATCTGACCCACATGGGCATCAAGCATAAACATCTGTGTGTAATAAAGTGAATCTTGGTGAATCAGTGCACCAGGTCAGTTGTACATGGTCATGTGCAGCCACTGGAACAAACAAGAAGACGTGGAGTTGTTTGTTTTTTTCATTTCTCTCTTTGTTTAGAAGAACGAGTTGCAGAGTGATCTACTGTACCTGTCTGTAGCTGAGCGTTATCATCCCCATCCCTGCGATGTCATAGGCGTGAAACTTGTCTGTAGGAAAAGAACAAAAGAGAACGTGTAAAAAAACCATTGTTGTCTTTGTTCTGTTTGTGGCACCGGTGTTTACTGTGTCAGTCGTCTCTGTGGACTCAAGTGACTGAGAGACAACACAAAACAACAGGTGTGGTGGCACTTTGGCTTGTTTTTTCACACCATAGGTTACACTTTATATTCAATCTGGTAACAAAAAGTCCTGTGAAATCTTCGCACTCACACTGGCGTGTTCGACATTTGATGGAAAGCAGAATTTTAAACTGATTATTATGCTGGACAACTGGCTACATGACTTCTGTGACCTGGTCTTCATTTCTTATATGCTGTGTTACCTTAACTGCGTTACCTTAACTGAGGGTCGCGACCCAGACTTTGGGAAACTATGGTGTAGGGATCCAGTCCCGGATGACATTGGATAAGCTGTTAGTCAGTGAGACACATGGCCAAACCTTTCACACTGACATTCACAGCTTTAGTGAATGTAAAGTGTCATGTTAGGACATGCATTTGGACTGTGGGTGGAAACATAACTAAAAAAAAACCCATGGATTTCAGAGGGGAACATGTAAGCTCTACACCAAAAGCTAGAAGGCCACTGTGTCAACGTGTGGACATACAACGCTTTTCTGGGCATGTTAAAGTCTGGTGGTGGAAACAAAGACAGGAAACACAGCTGAGTCAATCACAGGTCAAATGTTCTGGACGTTTTTTTCACCAGGATGGCATTGACGGAGTAAACCTTTCAGCTGTCTTGGTCCATTTCCATGACATGTAGTAAAGAATCTTGGTGTTGTCACAAACAGAGGAACTAGAGTTTATTTACTGGAACCAAACCTGACGACCAGTGTGCTGCCCTGTGTCAAACTGCACAGGAGTTTAAAGATGTTGATGGAAACTCTTCACTAAACTTGGTGTTTTTGCTTTATTTTCTCCCCTTGTACATGAGAACGTGCTTCTCTTTTTCATCCTTTAACTGTTTCTCTCAGATCAACTCCCATCAGTTTCCCACGCCTCCTGTGTCAGCTCACTCATCTCTCCTCCCTCTCTTCCTCCTCCTCACTTCCTGGTCACTTCCTCCCCATGTTTTTCCCTTCACCAAGGTCTTTTGGTCACATGTTTTTCGGCAAAATCTGCGTAAATGTGCGATTTTCACTGTGCGACCTTGGCTGTGTACTTACGCATCATGGTCTCCAGTTTCATCAGCAGGTAGAGGAACCCAGGGTAACTGATGGTCATGTCAGGCTCTGTGTACCTCAGTCCAACCAGATGTATCACCAAATCATCCACAACGATTCCTTAAGGAAAAAAACCCAGAAGACTATTATTAATATTCCCATAAATTGTTGGAAAAATGGTCCTTTGTTTTTAATGTTTTTGTTGGTTTTAGTTCTCAACGATTGAGACGGAATCAAGTGAAATGTCAATGTCAAAAACAATCCTCTCTATAGTAAAAACATAAATGTTACTTGTAAAAAATTCAGCCGGAATTTCACATTAAATTTTATTGTAAAATTAAAGACCAAATGTGGTCAAGCAATTACAACTGGCTTTACGAAACAAGGAAATGTGTAATAACGAACAAATCCTATGTTTATGGTTCACCTTCAGTCAAACGTATTTCAATAAATACAACGGTTCTGTGTGCGGCCCATGTTGGGACGGAAATAAAGAGAGGTGCTGTAGCACCCTCTGTTGGTCACATCTTTCAGTACACATGATACCTGAACCTACAATGGAGCCGTGGATTCTATGATGATGCGTTTATTTACGTCTGTGTTCTACTGTACCTGCTGCCTTCAAAGCCGGGGCGACCTCCTGATACTCCAGATGCCTTGTCTTGTTCTTGTCAAACACCATGAAAATATCCTGAGGAGAGAATACACACACACACACACACGTCACTGAAACACAGCCGTTAAAACAATTCATTTGAAATCGACACAATGTTGTTCATTTCAGGTTGTAGAATGTTAAAGAATGGGGGCTCAGGACTAACCCTAACCAAGGTAGAAATGTTATTATGTTATTAAAAATATTATAAATCAGAATAATAAATGTATTTATTGATAACTGTTTTATTTCCTGACATTTATCAATACTTAAATCGGGACAGCGGTGAAAGTTGGACGACACGTGGGAGGAGACCTCACCATCAGACGTCCTACACACCGCTGCTGCTCCTCCATTCGTTTTCTAATCCACACAGAACTCTTAATTACTCTGTTATAATCAATATGACTGCCTACCGTCCACCTCTTGATTTTATCCCACAGACTCTGAAATTCTTCCCAGTTCAGCCGAGCGAAGCCCTGGGTCTGAAGTGCAGCGGTCAAGGGAAAGAAACGTAACCAGTCACGTCACAACGAACAGTCTTGACGTATGTCGGTAAAATTGTGACTACAAACACAAGATATAGCGAAACTGTACGTTTCGGAGAAGAACGCATCAACGTCACTCGCCAACAGAGCCCGGATAGCTCAGTCGGTAGAGCATCAGACTTTTAATCTGAGGGTCCAGGGTTCAAGTCCCTGTTCGGGCGTTACCTTTAGTCTTTAATCACCATGTACTGCATCTGTACCTTACAGATACAGGAACGTTTCTGAGAACATACAATGAACATCTTTAAATAAAAGCAGCTCATTGGTCCATACATAGAGTTTTAAAACAGCCAGTCAGAACTGAACCACCGACCTGGTCGACAGGTCAAATGTCTTCTAAGAAACTAAGAGTTCAGTTGAACTCCACTTCACTGCGTCGGACAAACTGATAGCTAAAAACTATGGATATTAAGTAACTCTTTTTTTAGTCATACAATACACGCAACAGCAAGAGAATACACTCAAATAATATAAATGTATCCGAACACGCGAGATAAAAACGTGACGGCGGCGTGGAGTGTTTTATGTGGAATTTCCGGCCACACTAAAGATTTGTAAATAAAAGTGTTCTTTGTATAAAAAGCTAAGTTTTTTATAAGAAAGCTTGTCGTGTTTCTTTCTTTCTTTTTTTTTTTTCTTTTCCTCGAAGGTGTGGTGAGTTGTTCGGGTGTGTCATCCCGGTTAGTGTAGGAGGGGATGCACGGCCAAAAACCGCTGATCTAGTGCATATAATCCTTTAGCACCCTCTTGTGGGGAGAAAGGAAAGTTACACGGTCTTAAAGCTTTACAAAACAAAATTGTGTAAACGTCGTGTTTTCTTAAGTTTCTAATAGTTTTAAGGATACATCCATGAGGACGACCATGCTCTTACAGTGTTCCAGGGACAGGTACTTCTCACAGCCTGTCAAGACTGACAACAACAATGGACGTTAACGTACGAGTGAGATTAAAATGAAGAACATTTTTATTTTAAGGTCAGGTTTTTTTTTGTGACGTTCCACTCACCTCCTCCTTGTATGGCTTCAGTCAAAATGAGGTGGAGGTGAACTGGTTTGCACAGCTCCTTCTGAGGTGGAAAAAAAGATAAAAATGAATAAAACTGAACCTACTGTCTATGGTCAAGGTTGAAATTTAAATCTTTACAGAGTTGTTATTTAAATAGGCATTTGCACATACTGTATTTACTTTAAATAGTACTTTGTTACCAGGTAACTATATGTCTTTTTTTAACGTGTGTGTGTGTTTGTGTGTGTGTGAGTCACTCTCACCTTGTTACTGTGTGCCAGGAACAGCTTTCTGATGTCTTTGTTGGAGGGAAGAGCAGACTGGTGAGGATATGAAGGCTGCAGAACATAAGAAGTATAACAGTCATTTTCTCATTTATTTCTATATTTATATACATGTATAATATTGTGATTTACATGTTAGGGCCATAAAGGCATCCGTTTTGTTATTTAACATAATTGTGGAAACAAAAACAAA